TTAAAGATTTGGGCGCTTATACTTCAGTGGTCGGAGGCGCCCTGCAACACACACGTGGAATCGATTCCTACACCCATGACTTACCAAGCCGTCCATTCCTCCGGGGTCGGGAAATTGGTGCCGGACTTGCCTGGGAGGATAGCAGCACTGGTTCGATACATCGGTAGGCCACTGTGAGTTATTGTATGTGGGAGATATACATTCAATAGTCTTTGGCGATGCTAATGAAGATCAATGCATGGCGTATCCCTCAGCGACTGATCAAAGCCGAGGCCTTTATCCTTTTATCCTTTACTAAGACTTGTGACATATTAGTAGTCTAAAAAAGCCTCCCATCCCCACAGGGTCAGAAAATTGGGGGTAAATTGGTTCTGGGGCTCTGTCCCATCCATAAATTCAGGCGACTGCCTCTAATCAAAGCGTGGGAAACTCAGGGCTATTGCAGGATTTCAATAAGAATCGACTCTATCGGAGTTAAACGATAGCCGTGAAAATGAAAGACCGAAGAATTCTCGAGCGGCAGCAGAGTCCACTCAAAAATCCGGCCACCTTCATTAATGATGGGTGCGGGGAAATGAATGAAATTAAAGAAGTGCTTATATCGGCGCAATACGTAATGTCGATTCGTGTAAAAATAACTGCGGCGTCTTGTTAGCCCGACGGCTTCTCATCCTCTTTCTTTAAATCAGTATGTCATCCCTGTAGTCCTTTCTTCTATCTATCTTTTCTTGTTTTTTCTAATATTTAAGAGTTTTCTATTTTTTTAAATTCTGCGTTTCAGATTCAGATCATTTACGACGATGAACAAAGTGTCACCGTTTCATCGTCGTAGGATCAGTCGTCGCAAATCCACGACAAAGAGTGGAAGAGAGCTTATTCAACCTTCTATTGACAGGTGAAATTTTGAACCATTTTGTTTTTTCTATTCGAAACTCTAAATTCGTCTAAAGTGTTCGGTTCTCTTGGGGGATTCCCTGTGAAACGTTCTTGAGAACGATTTTTGGATCTTCACTTTGATCCTGTTACCATGCAATAAACGTGGCGTTAGAATGCGTGTTACAAATTGGTACCGGACTTGCCAGGGAGGATAGCGGCGCTGACTCGATTCGACGGTAGGCCACCGTGAGTCATTGTAAAGGCCATTTATGCATTCATTCACCTCCAACGACGGTTAATCCCTAGGGCATTGATCAACGACGAGAGCCTTGTCCGTTTATCATGCAATAAGAGATTGCAGCAAGACCTTTATTTATATTTTATAAGATAGTATGATTAGATATAATGTCTGATTATAATTGTAGTCCAAGCACAAAATCGTGTTTGCCAGCTATTCGTTTCGGTGTACTTATTGTTGTGTTACCAGAAAAATAGAGACAAAGAAAGTACGTGGATAATATGGCAACCAAAACAGCTCTTAAGCCTCTTCGAAACCCTATGGATTTTTGATCATAACGAAAATTTCACCGCTTTCATCCTTTGTTCTATATATTTTCCTTTCAATCTGCGAAGCATCGAAGCAAATAGACTCCGACTTCCCGTTCAGTCTTTGTTCTTAAACTATTAGAGGTGGTTATCTTAGAGCAAATGAATAAAGAAGGAAAAGTTCGCATCGACAGTATATGGATCTTCAACTTTTGTGGTTCATTGATGTATGCCCCTTATCATAAAGAACTTCTTTGGCTGCTACATCAGAATCCGGTGTTCAGTTTACAGTGAGCGAGACTTCTATGTTTACTTCGTTCGCTTTTGAATTTGTGATGATGGGACTGCAATGCGAAATGCTTTCGTCCTAAGAAAGCTTTTAGTTCCTAATGTCTTTAGAAAGTTTCAACACTCAGCGCTGCTTCGCAAGCCCTTTTCAACTGTGTGCTATCTTCGGATATTCTTTAATGTCAAATAAGCGTTAATGAATGACAAAACGAGTACAGAAGAAATGTGGTCTTCCATGTTGGTGATATCACGCTTGTGTCTCTGGCATCATGTTCGTTGATGGCCACCTGAATTGTAATGTACTGGATTTTTGGCGCCTTTCTGACTTCTGTTTTTGATCATCTGATGGAGATGATAAACAAGAGTAGATGTTCAAAGAAAAACTCACTACTATGAATTACTAGGGTGAAGTGCACACTTTAAATCATGGCCTATGACACGCCGACCGGCCCGTGCAGCGCAGTAGTTAGTGGTGCTCAGCAATGCACACACGATCTTTAGTTCGATCGCGCTCTATTGCCCACTAAGTTTTGCATCCCTCCGGGATCGGCGAGTTAGTGCCAGACTTCTCTTGGAGAATGAAAACAGCGGCTTGATTTATCGATAAATCACCGGAATTGATTGCATAAGCCAGATGATGTTCTTCCAATGGCCCCACTTGCTTAATGAAGTCTGTCGCATGGCACATACTTAAGCCATTGATCAAAGCCGACCGCTTTGCGCTTGATTTCCTTCATGACATGACCATGGCAACGTGAAAGTATTTAATAATTCGATATCAAGTTTAAGGTAGCAGAATGCGCTATTCTTTTTCCAGAGAGGACTAGTACCACAGATTTCGCAAAGGCGTACTTACAAGTATAGCTCTTGCGGGTCATATCTGAAACAAAAAGTAGTTTCCTATGTCACGGCTTTCTTCGGAGTGGAAAGAGTAGTAGTTTTTCGCAAACGTACCATTTCATTGAGATGACGGCACCAGAAATGCGTTTGCTCTTTGTTCACTTTTTAAAATGAGTTTACGGATTTTTTGACGACTTTGTGCTATGAACTAACTAATACATGAGTTCAGTCACGTTGACGAGTGATTGCTGATGGCACTGATCGATAGGAAAACTAGCTGAGAGACAGGCAAAACGAAGGACCCGCATGGTGTGGTGGTGAGCGTGTTAGTCTCCGGAAAGATTAATAGTGCGTTCGTTCCCCGCCGCAGACACCTGGTGTCCGGAGTTTTGCAAATATCTCAGCATCGTTGTAATATATGAGTGATGCAGTTTGAAAAATGCAGTTCGAATCTTCTGCTCACGAGCAATGCACAAATCCTAGTGAGCCATGATGAAGTTGCTTACTGAGGAGGAACGTTGTGATTGACCATGAACATTCTCTTATTGCTGTCATACCAAAATTATTTCTCATTCAGTGCGCGGGACAGTTGCTCTAAAATAACAGCATTGTCGAGTAGTACAGTGTTTAGTAGTCAGTATCGTCGAGATACCTAAGCGCTAAAGATATACTTCTTTAAGTAGTTCTTTTCGCGTTCAGTGGGTGCATTGGCTTCTTTCATAACTTAATCGATCTATCGTAGCACTTGACTGATGGTTGTAGGGGTCAAAGTCGGTTCTACTGCCACAAAAGTGATTTCAACAAGCTTCCCCGACGTTCAGATGAAACAAATTGCGCGGTGAAGTTTTTGTTGAAAATTTTTGTCGACGAACACGCGCTTTGGCAATCTCTGAACAAGTTCGCTCTATTATTTTTCTTATGGATCCCACGTAGTAGTGATTGTAAATATCTTGGTTTATTGATGAGCGTACGCAAGGTTGTTACAAATTTTTATTGCGGTCAATGTTTCGGCGCCATACTGGATACTTGATACTTGAAGGACCGTCCTCACTGATTGTATGGGCCCTAGAATAATTTCCCTGGTTTAGCTATTGTGGTTTTCTGGAATCTCAAGATCAGCGTGGCCAAAGTCTGCCCTAGGTCTTCACCACAACAGGCAATCGCAGCCCTGGTCGATCAGAGGGAGATTTGCCACCACGCGACTTTGATACCAGGACGACGGTGGATCCTGGTATTGGTTTACCCTTAATTAGGCTTCCTAATGGAAACGCCGTTCCTTCTCAGCTTGGGAGACCCTACTAGGGAGATGAATCTTCCCGCTGTACATTGCAGTACGACACCCAGTACGACCCACCAACCCTCCCAGCCACGATGAGGCGGTAAACCGTTGGGAAGTTCGGCGCTATGGCCTTCTCCAAACTCGCAGTGATTCGAATCGAGTGTCAACAGAAGATATTTTATATATCAGAAGATATTCACAGATGATAGCTCTTGCAATTGAGGTCTTCATAGTCGTCGCATCGCGTCGAAATGAGTGGAGGGCGAATGGAGTAGCTTGCCCTTTATACACCTCAGTTCTTGTCGTCTGACCTCACTCGGTCGTTTCCCAGAATATAGGGCGCTCTTTCATTGTATCAAAATTACTTAATGGTTAAATTAAAATCGAAATTAAAAGTCTCGTTTTGCCACATGCTCCTTGTATTATTCCCATTTTTACAGCAAGGATTGGTAGTACAAAAAGAAACGATTTTGGATAACAATCGACGAAGTACCGTCAAATATTCTGAGAAACTGTCGACTAGGGTCAGGCGACAGCAACCGTTCCATATAAAGGGCACACTGGTTCACTCGTTTGATGCTCCACTCAAATCTATTCGTCTCCATGAGATGACCACAATGACCCCGTTTGCCAGAAAAAGCAACTACTGTGGCTGCCAACTTGGATAATCGCGGCCATGAAAAAGGAGATGCCGCTAAAACCATTAGCCAAAGTAGAGGCCAGTACGAACCTCGGTGAGCTTGCAAACAAACCAGCTCATTGAATGTCTGGGCCGTGGTGAAATGATAGTAGGAATTGAAATATCTGGGCCGTGGTAAAATGATAGTAGGAATTGAAAATAATGCAGTAAAACTACTTTTATCTATTTTTAGTTCCGCAGGTGTCAAAACACAATCAAGCTTTAAAGGAAAATATTCAACAAATTCCTCGCTTTACAATGCAGTACATCGCTGAGCCTTTTGATTTGAAGCCCAATAAAAAAAAGAAAACAAGCTATAGATGATCATCTCTGTGAGATCACGTGGGTTTTTCTACTTCTTCACTCATCCTCTAGCTCTCCATCTCTGACATAGTGGTATTTGATACTCAGAAAACAAAAGCAAACTTGCAACAGTTGGATCAAGACAGCGGAGTCGTAGTATACGAACTTCAACACAAATTATTTTGCTAATCATCGACTAAGTTGACCAGTACCAATAACCATTTTCTCCATTCCGTTTGCATCGGCGACGATCGACTTAGTGGTTTGACCCCGGTCAAGCGCCGTGGTCTTCTCAGTGCTGAAATAGCACCAAAAGAAGGTCACGCTGACCAAACTTCTAGCAGACCGACGAAATGCGCCAGAAACGTCATCGACTACGTTCCGCATTGGCAAGTGGAAAGGAACCAATCCTTTACCACGATAATGCACGGCGACACATCGCACATCGATGCTGCAAAGATTGAGTGAGCGATTTCACGAAACTCTGTCTCATCCACCGTATTCGCCCAACCTCTCGACTGCCCAATCCCACTTCTTCAGTATCTGAACAACTTCCTGAGGGGGAAGTGCTTCAGAAAGCAAGCCGAGACCGAAACTGGCTTCAACGACTTCAACATCTCCAAAAATCTAGAAATTAATGCAACCGAAATACATAGACTTGTTATCACACTATGAATTAACAAAGTCTGACGTTTCGGAGGATTTCTCGTTATTTAGGGCCCGGTCAACTGAAATCTGATTAGCCAAATACCTCCACAACTTCGACGAAAAAATCACGAAACCTAGTTTTCAGTGGTCTTAAAATTCTTTAAACTTTCTTTTAAAACCTTTCCGCCACTCACCACTCTCTGTGATTCTTCCAATGAGTACTCCACTAGATACAAAGCACACAGAGTTCACATGGTCTCACTTACTATCAATCTGAGATATTGGGTGAGATCACGCGTGATCACGAGACATTTCTCCTTGTGGTTCGTTTTCGGGTTTTTGAAATTCATCCAGAATGATTGGAGGGTTTTGCGTTTGTTTTTATGTTTTACTGTTTTAAATTCCTGTCCTAGGATAGAGACCTCTGTTTCAAAATCTTCTCCGCTATGCTTACTGGTCTTATGCTTGCCTACTGGTTAACTTGTTGGGTTCTAATTTTTCCACCTAGATGTTCTCTTACATGGCCGCAGTGTGATCTATCAATTTCGCCAATGTATTTGTCCTTCACCGCTTTACAAGAGATTAGGTACACCGTGCCGGTACTCATCTCATCACAATCTCTAGCGTTATTTTATTTTATCCGTCTTCACGTCTACTTTGCGGATCCCAACACTTCTCAATTCGTTTCCTCGCATTCAATGTCCACGAAGGTCTTGCAAATTTTACGTTTAGCTTCGGTTGCTGCTTGAGGATTTCTATATCATCTTGACGTCGTAGAATGCTAGTGGAGCGATTCTCCATGGAGTCCTGAGAAAGCCGGGCTACAGCGTTCCCAATTGGAGTGCAGAGAGTGATTTTTTTTCCTCAATATGTCCGGTACCGATTTTCCTACCTTGGAGGGGTGAGAGGCTTGGGTGGCTTTGGTGGCTTTGAGCGGAATCGAACTAACACCATGCTCGCAATGATGAACATTCCTACCACTGAGCTATCTGCCTCTCTAGCGTTAGGAAGTGTAATGCTAATTTGAGTTGTGCATAGACGGGTGGTTGCGAACTATCTGACGTCTGAGAGTGTTCGATGGTGTTTCAATCACTGTTACCAAATTTGCTACACTCACTGTTCTTAAACAGCATTTTATTGCTGCATTTATCCCGTTGGAAATGAAGGACAGGATAAACGGGTCCTTTTCCTCGCTAGAGTTATCGTTTGGGTGCGACGTTTTTCCTCTACACCCTTCCTGAGGAGCTATAGTTTCGTAGCCAATGAAAATGGCTATATTCCGCCCCAATTTCAGATATTCTTCCATCTGCTATATTTCTGTGCACACATTGGTTGATGTTCAAAAAATTATTCCTTACAAGCACCCTTTTGATGTGTGAGGAGTGAGAGGAGAGGTAATGAACCACTCACTGATTTTTTATTGCTTGCCTTTCGGTACCATTTTGTTATTTAGCCGTTTTCGGGTAGGTTAATTTGAACGTCCAGAAATAGAAGCCAATTTTCCTTTGGTTTCTTTCAAGTAAACTTAATATACTCTGGCTGTTCATTTAATATCTCAAAGCATTTGTCCATTTCCTCTTGTGTGGAGCAAGTGACAAAACAATGATCTATATATCTACACTAGAGTAATAGCCGGAGATCGATTGCTGGTGCTTCCACATTAGACATAAATGGAGTGGCAACCCATGGTGCCAGTCGCTGTCCCATTACGAACCCTTTAATTTGCGCGTAATATTTCACAGGCCATGTGAAGATTGAGCAGTTTATGTACTCCTTTAGGAGGCTCGCGAGTTACTGAACCATCAAGCTAAACATATTTACTGCTCGTTCGTGTTGCATAAGGAGTTCGAAGATAGTTTGCATAACGGAATTATTCCACACGTTAAACCTAAAAAAGGATGAACATCTCGGCGTTGATCAATCCCTGAGGGATGCGCCATGCATTCTACTTCATTAAGTATCGTTTGGAAGTGATTTAATGCAAACCTGGATTTGACAATGACTCACGGTGGCCTACCGATGTATCAAGCCAGTGCTTCTATTCTCCCAGACAGGTCTGGTACCTATTTGCCGACCCCGGATGGATGGAAGGTTTGGTGGGCCATGGCCGCGAAGATCGATTCTACATGTGTGTTACAGGGCGCCTCCGACAACTGCGCTACACGTGCCCTGTGACACATACGTTAGTATTTATAAATGTCGGTAACGTTGAGGGACTCCATCACGTACACACTGTTAGGACACGCGTTACGTAGATGATTCAGGAGCATCAGGTGTTCGTAACATGTGCTGAAATGTGCATTAACAATTGGGAAAGTACTAGTGTTGAAAACCATGGTATCGTTCCTGTCGGTCCATCTACACAGTTGATGATTGGTGCAACCTTGAATAATAGTGAAGCGTTAGTCGTATGTATGATTATCAGTGAATGCTAACTTATGAATTTTGATAGGTTAGCACAAGAAAATGGATGGGAGATAAAACTACCACATAGAAGATGACTGCGAGGGAAAGAAACGAATGGCAAATATTCTGGGGCTCGCACAACTCGTGAAGACGGGCCGTTAAAGTATCCAAGTATCAAAGTGCAAGAAGGGGCATTTTAGCAATCCAACTTTGAGTTAGAAAATAACCGACAGTCTTAACTCTTTTATTTACTGCCTTTTTCTTCTTAATGGCAGGTTATGTTGCGAAATATAACTCGTATGAAATGCTGAGATATTTACAAAACTCCGGACCACAGGTGTACGCAATGGAGAACGAACACGCGCTGTTGTCCTTACCGGGGAGCAGCGCGTGTTCGTTCTCCATTGCATACACCTGTGGTCCGGAGTTTTGCAAATATCTCAGCATTTCATACGAGTTATATAACCGACAGTTTTAACCGGCCGTTTTACCAAAAAAGCAGATGATTCACTAAGCACTCATGGAAGACAAACACATAATGGGGTAGATTCTGAAGTAGAAGTTACCATTCTCGTATAGGAATCTAAAATTGCAGTGTGCAAAGCCTTTGAAGCGTTATGGATGAATTCCAAGAATCCAAAAATAAACCAGAGGAAGAAATGTCCCGTCATCACGAGTGATCTCACACGGTATTTCAGACTGATATTTTAATAAGAGGGAAACACATTGCCCATACATGTGAACTCACTGCGGTTGGTCACCACGTGATACTCAATGAAGGACTCAAAGGAAGCGGTGATTGTGCGAAGACGCTCTTTTGTTTTCAATGCTATTGATACATTTCTTTTGTGGTTTTTCTGTTTTGTTCATGGAGGTGTTTGTTTGCCACACTTCTGTCAAGTTGACCATCAGGCTCCGAAGAGGGCAAAATCCGTCGAGACGTCAGCTTTAAATAGTATATTAACAACAGGGCGCGTGTGGCGCAGTGGTCGGGGCCCCCTACAACGCACACGGGATCGCCGGAACCTCAGCTTTTGTGAATAAAAAGCAAAATAGCTACCTCATGTGTGCTTATCAAGAAAACCAGCCGATTTTTGATCAGTGCTAATGTCAGGAGAAAGTCACTCATCGGAGTGATATTTTTTCATTAGCAAACATGTTTAGTTTGAAATGTTTTTTAGTTCGATGAATAAAATCTTTTCTGAGCTGGAATATGCCGCTCTAAAGTTGCGCGTTGGAATAGTGCATTAATTTCGGAAGAACTTAGTAAAGCGCTTTACAGTGTAGGAACAACAACGACGGCTCGTTCGTTTACGACACGCAGAATTTAATTAACGCAATCAACAGGAGCGTTTTAGCCCGCCATCAAGCCAATCTGCTAAATAGAATTTCAGAACTAATTCATCAGTGATGCTGAAAGAGGTGTCACTCAACTAATATATCCTTTCAAAAGCATGCGATAAAGTAGGTACTTTCGTAAAAAGTGAAGTGATCAAATTAATCGTGTCCTCAGTTCTCTTAGCGATTAGCTACCCAAACTTTCAATTATGCTCTGGTGAAATATAATCCAACAGCGTGTAAAGGTCAAGTAGCTTCTCCTTGACCCTAGTGTTGACAACGAAATGTGACACTCTTCTTCCATTTCCGTCCATTGAGCGCTCCTCGTAACAGCTTTGAATCCATAGTTTCAAGTAGTTCTATAGCGTTCAGGTGTAATTAAATGCACCCGCCTTCTATGAATTCCATGTGCTGCCTCTAATCTCTAGCTTCGTCTAGATTGCAGAGTCATAAATGCAATAAGTAAACTAGAAGTTGGTCGTGAAGCCAGGTGAAGACAGCTAGAAAATTACTAGCTTCGCAGTTTGTGGAATGAAGGGCCACTGCGTTCAGTGAGAAGCTCGTCGGTTTTAGCCTATTCACCCCCAAAACAGACTTTCTACGCAACAATGTGAGCGAATTCGAAGCCCAGATATCTTTGCAATGTGACGCTTTACCAACACCATCGGTAGGCAGCTCTGGGTCATTTCACAAGCAAAATCCAATTCAATGATTTCTGAAATTCTCACTAGACACGGTGTCCGCCTTGTTGAATTCGTTTGGCTACATTCTTTTCTTTCATCAATGGTCAATTCAGGTTTCTAGTCACCTTTCCGATATTTCTAGTCTACTAAATCTTACTGTATCTATAATTATTTTTAATGACGCTCGAGTCTTTGGTATGAAATTCGCCTTCAGCTTCATCAGCATCGAATTTTTGCCACGATTCCCTAATATCATCTTAAATCACTGTTAAAAATATTTCTCTTGTTGACTTTTCCGAATCTAGTCTACTAGATCTTACTGTACCTATTTGATTGTTAAGAGTTCTGTGCTTACTTCTCAACCATTCAAATATAATGGAAGCAGTAATCACTAACCTTAGGGTTTCGAAAAGTTTTCCATCGAAGGTTTTCGTTCGTTATACCAGTGGAGCTATCCTGTTGGGACAGTTAATTCGTGCTTCCCTACAACTTGCTCAATAGTGAGCCACAATCCGTCTAAGAATTCTGTCCCATGCTGACAGATAAATGCTGTGAGGGAGCATCGCTCATCTCCTGAATGGTGGCAGATGGCCCAACATTTGTCGACGACCTATCAGGAGCGAAAAGCTATAATTGGTAGTCTAAACCAATCTCATCCAATCTCACATCCTAGGAAATTTTTTTTAACCAGGTTCTCGTTTTTTCCCACTGGTCATCTTTGAAGTGAATAATGGAAAAGCGTGAGCAGAAGCATGTTCTCGCAGTTTATTTCTGTCCTTTTGCTCCACTGAGAGCACTATGTTTTGTCGCTTTAAATAAGCCAGCCTTGTCGAAAACAAAGCAAGGTGGTTGTTATCTTTGTGTAACTAAGCAACAACGTCAGCACGCATCTGTCTCTGTGTTATGTTTTCTCTACGTTTCGTATAAATATTCTTTTCGTCAGGTGCTGTGCGACAAGGAGTAGTGAAAGCAACCTCAGTAAACTGAAAGCTAAAAATTCAATAACGGGCCGTCAGCCTAACGCGTTCCGCTTCATCGGCCTTTTCGCCCGTGGTTCTTTCATTAGTGGAGTTGACGGCTCTATTACCTCAATGGCGCCTCTACATAATACACTTGGACCGGCGCAAGTAAATTCATGGCTATGCTCATTCCCACAATGGTTTCATGCCACATCGTTGCTATGGGCTTACACCAACCGATTCACTAAACCCGGGAAGGACGTTCATGTTTCCTTCCAGAAACCACATTAGGAAAAAGTGACTGCTGTATTCGTAATTGTTGTTTAATAGAGTCCGCCTCAAACGGCAACCTCCACTCCAACCCACCGTTGTCATTCACAGCGTGGGAAATCTCACGCGCCTTTTTCTATACCAA